TTTCAGTTTTCAGTGGACACAACATCTTTATTTTATTTTTACATGGTGCTGAGGATCGAACCCAGCGCCCCACGCATGCCAGGCGAGCGCAATACCGCTTGAGCCACATCCCCAGCCCCCTGCCCCAACCCTTTTTATTTTTTATTTTGATACAGATTTTCACTGAGTTGCTGAGGCTGACTTTGAACTTGTGATCCTCCTGCTTCAGCCTCCTGAGTGGTTGGGATTACAGTTGTGTGCCACCACCCCTGGCTATATATTAGTCTATTTTTGTTTTTGTGTTTGAAATTCTCTATTTCTAAAAGTAGAGCAAAATTCCGAGTTTAAGATGAAGCATAATTTTTTTCTGAGTCTAGGATAATGGACATATTGCTGGTGACAGAATATATAAAACTCTGAAACTAAAGTTTGCAAAGTTAATGGCATTTTCTTATTTTACTTATAGGGCCTGAGAGTCAGTATACTAAGACTGCTCAGGAAATTGTGAATGTCTGTTACCAGACTTTGACTGAGGTAGGTGATAAGAAGGAGTCCCCTTATGATCTAGCTCCCTGAAGTCTTTGTTTCCTTGAAAGAAGAGCCTTCCCTAACCATCCTATTTTAAGATGCAACATCCTACCCTCTACTCTCACTCTAGATCCCCTATGTCCTTTCCTGCTTTATTTATCATTTATGTTCTGCCACTAGATTAAAAGTTCCTTGAATACTGGGGTATTTTTGTCTGCTTTGGTTACATTTTTCTTTCCAGTGCCTAAAACATATTGAACAAATTCATTAATTGTCTTTGTTTCTCAGTATGATGAACATTTGACTCAACTTGAGAAGGATATTTGTACAGCTAAAGAAGCGGCTTTGGAGGAAGCAGAATTAGAAAGCCTAGACCCAATGACCCCAGGGCCCTACACGCCTCAGGTGAGTCTAAGGGCTAGTAATTTTCTTTAATAATTTTCTTATTGGTTTGGGAAATTGGGAGCATGTTAACAGATCTATTACTGAGTTACCGTTCTTCTCTGTCCTTCCTCTTCATATGCCTTTCGTGTGCTTTCTTGTCTTCTCAAAGGCTAAGGTGAGTGAGGGCCATGGGTCTTGGTGGCCTTGTTAAATCCAGAAGAGGCAGCTGTGGGATGAATGAGTGGGTGGGGTCTTAGTTGTTTAGACAGCATTTGGGAATACTTGATCATCCCTGAATCACTCTAGTTCTTTTATCCATAACTTTTGGGGTCCTAGGACATCCCCTAGAATGCAAGCTGCTTGGTTATAGATACAGGCCACATTGTTTCTGTGCCTTATAAATGCCTAATTACTCATTCCCTATGGCTGAGATGTCACTCATTTTCCTGGATTGACTCCCTCTCCTGGTAAATAAAAACAGGTGATATTTATAATGTCTTAAATTTACGTGTCAAAAAAAACTAGAGAGTAAGGTAAATAAGGCTTTTTAGTCTTTCTGATCTGAATATACATAATAACATACTTGAATATACTTAATAGCATACTCTAAGAGGGTTGTCATATGTCCAGAGTAGAAAATAACAGGCTATAACTGGTGCTTGGTTTCTGTATTGGAGACACTGGTAGGATGGGAAACATGAGGTTTGACATAAAACAGTTCTGGGCTTGAGTCTTAGCTCTGCTACTGTCTAGCTTTGTGATCTTGGGAAGCTACCTTTCTAACTCAGTTTCCTTTTCTCTAAAATCTACTTTTCAGGATCATTGTAAAAATCAAATGAGTTACTTTGCCTCACACCTAATGGACATTGAGTTAATATTTGTTTTCTTCTCTGTATGAAAGTTTGTAAAGGTCCCCAGAGGCAATTTCACATTTAACCAAATATTTTAATGCAGAATTCTCCCACTCCCACAGGAAATTTTTTCATTCTGCCCAAGTTTCACTCTGAACTTGTAATGCAACGTATGTCATCTCTGTTGGATTATTGCTGTCTCTATGTCTCATCCATGCGCTCTCCCTATCTCTTTTACTCTCTCTTTCATCCCAAAACCTAGGTTACTGAGGGGCCAGGTATAAAGAACCCTCAGATACTTCTTCAAGGTCCAGAACAAGGAAAGGCTCTTGGAGTGTGTGGGCAGATTGGGTCAAGGGGGCTTGGGTGAGTGATGTTGCCCAGGAAGGCCCTATTTGCTAATAGGCCCACACCTTCCACAAGGTATTTTCTGGTAAGTTAAAGTCTGGGTATTAGCCACTGTTCTACAGAGGAGTCCAGCCACTGAGCAGCACCTTGTTTGCCCAGATCCAGGATAGTCTAAGCCTAGTCCTCTAGTGAGTCAAAGCCTCAAGCCCAAAAGTCATCTTTCTTTCTTCCCTACCCCCTCCTACACTACCTCATGGCTGAGGAAAACCCATCAACTGTTCTCTTTCCTGAGCATTAGCTATTATTTGATATAGTTGGAGTATTTCATATGAAAAGTAGGGTATAAATAATACTGTTTAATTTTTCTAGTTTACCCTTCATCATTCCTTTCACTCATACATATACATTTTAAGATAGTATGCTCAATACATTGCCTCTTAACTTGTGGAAGTTGCACATGAGTGATTGCCCTTACCCATTACTACTCTCAAATCCAAACATAATTAGAAAGTTTTTGTGTAAATTTAACGTCATAATATAATTTTGATTGTATAGAAACATGGCAGTAATCACACCTTATTTTCAACTTCTAAATGGTTGTAGTCAGTAATATATTTTTACTCCATTCTTTCCACCTAGTTTGCATTAGATCATACTATTTGTTTTGCATTTTCCTACACAGTCCTTTCTACTTTCCCCAACAAGCTTTAAGGTTTTGTAGAAATTTTATTCCCTCATTTTCCCTTCTTCTGTTCCATCATGGTTTATCTGCTTTGTAATGCTTTAAACTCTTTTGCTTCTTTTCCTCCAAAACCTTCTTCTTAATCAGCCTTGCTTGCTTTCTTTTAAAAACACATGTAACACATATGTGGGTTTTCTATTAATAAAAGTAACACATTTGCTTGGCAAATTGGAAAATACAAGAAATAAGTTGCTGGATATCAATTCCACCACTCAGAAAGAACATCCACCAATTAATATGTTGGTGTGTGTTTTCTTGCATATCTGTGATGTACATGTGTGTTCATAGACACTATTTTTGGGAGGGGGTCCAGGGATTGAACTGAGGGGTACTCAACCACTGAAACACATCCCCAGCCCTATTTTGTATTTTATTAGAGACAGGGTCTCGCCGAGTTGCTTAGTGCCTCACTAAATTGCTGAGGCTGACTTTGAACTCGCGATCCTCCTGCCTCTGCCTCCTGAGCTGCTGGGATTACAGGCGTGTGCCACCATACCCGGCCCCATAGACACATTTTTAAAATTAGATTGATCAATATAGATGTATGTTTTATTTTTTTTTTTTACTTTATGTTATGAACATTTTATCTAGTCCTTGCTGTCATTGAATAGTCCATTTGCTAAGCCCTGTTCTTTTCAGGGAAGAAAAGAGGGAAAGGATCTGTAATTTACTGAGTGCCACCATTGGATACCTCTCCCTCTTAATTTTCATAACTCTGTGAGGTAGACATTATCATCCCTTTTTTACAGTTGAAGAGACCAAGGGTTAGAGAGAATAAGTCATTTGTTAAAGTTACTTAGCTAGCAAGTGGTGGAGCCAGAACTCAAACCCAGGGCATTTTGCTTCAAAGCCCATGATTTTTTTCCACACTGTTTTGTTTTGTGGCTTACTCTGACAAGCTCATGAACTGTCAAACCATTCCATGCTCTTATTAGAATTGAAATGCTTTATACTATTTCCTCTTAGATGTCTCTAAATCAAATAATCAAAACAGCACTGGTATGAAGCCCTGGACCTAAAAACAATACAAGACTTAGAAAAAAATAGGTTATTGACCAGAGAAACTATTAGAACATAAAATTGTCCTTAGCTTTGATGCATTTCTGCTTTAGGCTTCTTATTATATACACCTGATGCCTATCTGCTAGAATAGGCAACATTTGTAAGATTATAAAAAAAAAACAAATTGTCCGTAAAGTTATGCCAAACTATGTTTTCTCTTTAACTGGATTGCTCTGCATGACCTTTTTCTGCAGTGAATGCTCTAAAGGGAAATTCTCTGTTTCCTTTCCCTTCCTTTGGTAGAAGCTAAATTATATGTTTTGTGCCACAGCCTCCTGATTTGTATGATACCAACACATCCCTCAGTATGTCTCGAGATGCCTCTGTATTTCAAGATGAGAGCAATATGTCTGTCCTGGATATTCCCACTGCTACTCCAGAAAAGCAGATAGCACAGGTAGGGCGTTTTTGTTTTTTATTTTTTTCTCTTTGTGTGGTTGGTAGTATGCCTAGGGGGTGAGGGGTGGAGGAATGGTGGGGGTGATATGACATACATCATGAATGACTGGGCCCCTTGGCCCTGTGAATGAAGGCTTAGAAATGTGATTGGGGGATGGAGGGGGTAGGAAACGGGTTACATGACTGGCATTGTCTTCTGTCTGTTCCCATGGGCAGAGTCAAAGCACAGCAGAATTTCAGGGAATGTCCATGTGTATAAAAGTTTACGAGGCGTCAGAGCAACCTAACAGGTGATGGAAAGACCAACCGCATTCAGAGTTCAAAATAATTGTCTTGCTACTTTATGTATGTTATAATCTGAATTAAGACTATTTATAAAATTAAATTTTAAAAATTGGCCTTTTCAAGAAGTATCAGAAGATACTCTAGTGTGAAGCCAGAAATCCTACAGTTATTCTCAGTCAGGGTTCCACTGGAGAGTATAAATCCCATGAAGGTTTTTCTAGACCAAAGAGTCTAACACAAGCTGTAACAAAACCTTGGGTTAGAAAGGAAACATCTCCTTGTGACGATACAGTTAAGAGTAGACCAAGGACTTTCCAGTCCTTTGGTTTTCTTACCCTGGCTGTGATTTCCAAAGAATGATTGGGGAAAGTGCACATGCCTTGAGCTGTGTAAATAGCCCCCACTAGCAGTGGGTTTGGCTGAGATATCAGGGAGGAGCATCTGTCCTGGGTGAAGAACCCTGGGTTAACTCCCCCTACATGCACGTCCCTCAATGATGTGCTATTTGTGTTCCTTACTCAGATGCGCCAGGGCCGAGGTAGGCTGGGCGAGGAAGACTCTGATGTAGATATTGAAGGGTATGATGATGAGGAGGAGGATGGGAAACCTAAGACTCCAGCCCCAGTGAGTATACTTACAGAAAGCTTATGGTTACATTATACCCTTATATGATAGGAGCCCCAACAGTACAGGGCAGGCCAAATCCCAAGGTGATAATCAGAGTGTCTCCATAGTGAGCCCTGATCCAACTTTAATCCTTGGACCAGCTAAACAAATCTATCCACCAAAATTATTTAACTTCTTGTGAGGCAGCAAGGGGGGTGGTATGGGACTGGAGGTGGCTTCTGGTTTCTTACTTAGTCAGTTGATGGGGCATTGACCCTCCCTGGTCTCATTCAGGAAGGTGAAGAAGGAGATGGTGATCTTGCAGATGAAGAAGAAGGAACTGTGCAACAGCCTCAAGCCAGTGTCCTATATGAGGACTTGCTTATGTCTGAAGGAGAAGATGATGAGGAAGATGCTGGGAGTGATGAAGAAGGAGACAATCCTTTCTCTGGTAAGTCTTGCTCCTTTGCATTTGCTCCTATAAGTTCTTGGCCACATTTGTTATTATCCAGAAGCTGCCTTTTTTATTGATGTCCCATTAACAGACATGAGACATACTAAGCACTCACCCACAGGATGACCACGTTCATTAGCCTTAGAGGAACTGAGAAACACAACACAGCAGGTACAGTAGACAACAGTGGAAAAGGCAATGCCTAAGTAGCAACTTGGATTTGGATATTTGCTGAAGATGAGAATGAAATATTATATGTGGCAACAGGGAAGGAAATTAGAAAAAAGATAACTGTTTAGGGATGTATTCTGGATTAATGTCAGTAGTAGGGGAAGTAATGGAGGGGATATAGGAAATAGGTTGGACTGAAATGAAGAAAGGAAGTTGTTAACTTATATTCAGATTCTAAACTAGATCTTTCCACTGTTGACCCTAGGCATTTTACAAGAGAGGCATCTGAGGTAAGGAATATAGACAAGATGCCTATGTAGATATATGAGAGGAACTGATTTTGGAAGACCAAGCTAAAGATGTTAATTCTGCCAAGATTATTTATTTATTTATTTATTTTGTACCTGTGATTGAGCCCAGGGGTGCTTTACCACTGAGCCACACCCCTTCCCCTTTTTATTTTTTGAGACAGGGTCTCTCTAAGTTGCTTAGAGCCTTGCTAAATTGCTGAGGCTGGCCTTGAACTTGGAATTCTTTAGTCTCCTGAGCTGCTGGAATTATAGGCATGTGCCACCACACCCAGCCAAGTTTATCTTTTTTTTAATTTGTTCTACTTAGTTATACATAATAGTAGAATGTGTTTTGACAAATTGTATACAAATGGAGTACAACTTCTTCTTTTGACTGTACATGGTGCAGAGTCACACCAGTAGTGTAATCATACATGTATATAGGGTAATAATATCTGTCTCATTCCACCGTCCTTCCCACTCCCACTTATCTTTTTTTTTTTTTTTTAGTATTTTTTTAGTTGTAGAGGGACACACAATATTTTTGTTTATTAGTTTATTTTTTATGTGGTGCTGAGGATCGAACCAGTTTCTCACACATGCTAGGCAAGCGCTCTGCCACTGAGCTACAGCTACAGCCCCCCAGTTTATCTTTTAACGAACCAGAATCTGTCTTTTTTTACAGCTATTCAGTTGAGTGAAAGTGGAAGTGACTCAGATGTGGCATCTGGTGGTATAAGACCCAAACAGCCCCGCCTGCTTCAGGAGAACACAAGGATGGGCATGGAAAATGAAGAAAGCATGATGTCCTATGAGGGAGACGGTGGGGAGGCTTCCCATGGTTTGGAGGATAGCAACATCAGGTAATGGGCAGCAACATGCTACAGGGCTGTGGCATCAGTGCCCAGCTATGATGTCAAAGGGTCTAGCATCAGATTGCTTTCATCCAGCAAACATTTCCTGTGCACCTACTAAGGCCAGGCATTGTGCTAGGCCCTGGGGAACCAGAGGAGCAAGATATATCCTGCTGTTGAGGAGCTCTTCTAATAGAAGAGAAGTGACACAAACAAATCATTACAAATACAATGTGATAAGTGCTAAAACATAAGTAGGTACAAAGTGTCAAGACACCATTGAGGAAGGAGCATCTCATTCTGCTTGGTGTAATCAGGGAGAGTTTCACAGACAAAGAGAACATTTGAACTGGGCCTTATGGGATGAATAAGAGTCTACTAAGTAGATATTGTGGCAGTAGATGGGTAGGTCTTTACTGACAAAACAATATATTCAAAGGCACAAAAATAAAACATAAAATGTATTCCAAAGCAAAGGGAGATTGTTGGGGAGTAGTTCCAGAAGTAGCAAGAGGTTAGTGGAGGATCTAAAGCATGCTAAAAAACATTTGGGTTTGGTTCTATGGGTATTAGGAATCATCACTTTAAGGAAAAGGAATTAACATCAGGTTTACATGTTACATAACTCTTAGGGCAATGTGGGACAGATGATGAGGGTATCAACAGGGTTTTATTAGGAGGAAGGGAAAATGAAGGGGCATATTTATTTAAGAGTTAGTTAAAAGGTAGATAATTTGAGTTCGAAGGTAAGGAGGTCAGGTAAATAATGAAAGGGAATATTACCAAGATAGCAAAGAGGAAGAATGGTATTAGGGTGAGATAAGGAAGGAGAGAAAAATGAGTTTGACTTTGGGGATGTTGGATTTAATATACATATGATACATCTAGCCAGCAAGCAGTTAGGAATCATATTCATTTTAGCAAAGATGTAGTTCCTTCCTTTAACAAGTTTAGTCTACAGGAAATCTAACACAGGTAAACAGGAAAACACAGTGTAACATAAAAAGCACTGTGGCAGGCAATTATGGGTTTTTTCTGGGGTTTGGGGAAGCAGGGGAAGGGAGCTGGTTAAAGAAGGTAACTACAGGAAATATGAATACTTATTAGCTACATAAAGAAGAAAGCAGAGGACATTCCAAAGACCAGGAAATTCTTGAGGACCCAAAGGCATGAAATATTTTTAGAGAATACAAATAGATAAGTGTGGCTGGAGCTTTTGATTGATCCATGTAAGATATGTAATAGAAATGATTTAACAGGCTAGTGATGTACCTGAGTGGTAGAGTGCTTGCTTAGCATACATGAGGCACTGGGTTTGATCTCCAGCAATGCTAAATAAATAAATGTTTTAAAAAATGATTTAAAGAGATAGATAAGGACCAAATTTTGCAGGACCTAAAAGTTTTGGTTAGGCATTGAATACGAGTAGTATGATCTGATTTACAGTTTAGAAAGATTGCTTTGTTCCCCAAAAGAAAATGGGCAAAAGACATGAATTAATAATTCACAAAAGAAATGCCAATAAATGCGTGAAAAATGCCTTACCTAATAATCAAAGAAGTACAGTAAAACAATTGAATTGCAGTTTTTTAACCTATCAGACTGGTGAAGATTAAAATGCATGATAATGCCCAGTGTTGGAAAGAGTGTGAGGAAAAAGGCATTCTCAAACTACTGGTGGTAATGTAAATTGATAAAATACAGTGAATGGGAGAGAGGTATTACAATTTATCACTATAAATAATTTTTCTAATGTACATCCCTGTTGGCCCCAAAATCCCATATATAGGAAATTATTCTGTTGGAGTAATAAAACACCTTCGTTAAGATGTTTGTATAAGGATGTTTATCACAGCATTGTTTCTAATAGTGGCAAAACTGGAGACAGTTTAAATGTCCTAGTAAGAGATTGTTAAATAAATCATGTTACAACTCTATACAGCAGAATACCATGCAGCTATTAAAATTATGCTATAGACTTGTTTATTGACACAGAAAGATGTTCATTATAATCATTAGTGAAAAAAGCAGATTCCTGAAGAACATGTAGAATATCTCACTTGTAAATTTTAAACAAATGTTTAAGCATCTAAAGTGCATAGAAAAAAGTTGCAAGGTCATATACCAAAAGATTATTTCTGGATGGTGGAGTTATTGGTGTTTTTTTTCTTTTTTTATGGTGTATGTTCTAATTTTTTTTAAATAGTGAACGCGCATTACTTGTGTGATTTTTTTTTTAAGTAAAATTCAGAATAAACAAACAAACAAAAAATAAAGAGCACTCTGGCAGAAGCATGAAGATTTAATTGGAGGAGAGCAGGACTAGAGGAATGAAGACTTATTTCAGTAGTACAGGCCAGAGATAACAAAGGACTGAGCCAAGGCAAGCAGTGTAGGCATGGAAAAGAGGGATAGAAACGAGATATACTAAAGAGAGCATCTTTAAGATTATTGATTAAATTTGGATACATAGGTAAGCCTAAGTATAAGTGGTAGATGGAATCTTGAGTTTGTCAGAGCGTTTGTGGTCATGTTAGTTGGCAGTGTGTGTTGTTCATGTGTAGGGGAGTTTTGTTCTTGTGTATATGAAGTTGGCAAGTTGATGTTTTTGAACAGGATCATTTTTCTCTCAGGGGCATGTAGAACAGTACAGAACCAGTTACTTTAGTGTCCAGGGGAGATGAGATGGGCTGATCCCTTGGTGGCACTGAGAATGGGAATGGTCAGCTAGAGACAATGCCCGAGCTTGAGAGATGACATGTTTCTCTTCTCAGTTATGGGAGCTATGAGGAGCCTGATCCCAAGTCGAACACCCAAGACACAAGCTTCAGCAGCATCGGTGGGTATGAGGTATCAGAGGAGGAAGAAGATGAGGAGGAAGAGCAGCGCTCTGGGCCGAGTGTACTAAGCCAGGTCCACCTGTCAGAGGACGAGGAGGACAGTGAGGATTTCCACTCCATTGCTGGGGACAGTGACTTGGACTCTGATGAATGAGGCTTCCTTTGGGCCTCTTTGGTCAGCTTTCCCTCCAGCCTAGGTGGCTCACCTTTGCCCAATTTGTTCATATTTGTACAGTGTCTGATCCTGAAATCACCAGATTAACTAACACCTTAGCCTTTAATAATAGGTAAATGATACTAAATCACCTCTCCTGATCTTCTCGGGCAATGTCACCCTTTGATTTGAAACAAAGCAACCTGCTTCCTCCCCTACTACTACCAAAAAGAGAGAGCAAGCTCACTCTTTTCTAGTGCCCTCATTTAACTCCATTTATTACTTTTGATATACTTTTTCCCTGGGGAAGGAGGAGAAATTATGAAAGGATTAATAATTTTATGTCCTCTTGGTATATTAGAAATTTTCCAAGCATGGTATTATTTCAACTTTCTAATTTGCAGGCTGGAATAGATGAGAACACTCCTGCTGGAACAGAGAATTGGGTTCTGGTGGGTTTGTACCACACTTTAAAAACAAACCTGTTGGACAGACTGTCCATTAATTTATTAATTATTTGATTATACAATGCCTTGTTCCTAAAGAATTTGAGGCAAATGACTTAAGTCCTCTGAAACAGCCTGTATGTCAGAAATGATATGTTGCCATGTAAATGTGTTCTGTTCCTCCTCCCTGCCCCCACAGGGGAAATGGTAGGTAAATGGTAAGTTCCTTAGGGCAAAGACTGTGTCTTCTGTTTCTTTTCATGCTTAGGATATGGTTCTGTGCAAAATAGCTGCTCAGTAAATGTTCCTAGAATCACTGAACCCTCAAAAGATGTATTACTGAGTATCTGCTCTATGATTAGCACTTTATCAGATCCTTGGGATGCAAAGATAAATAAGGCACATTCCTTTTACTCAAAGGGATAAAGCTGTGGGGGGGGAATGGGAATTCAAAATATGTTAATAAATCATTATAGTACTGTGAGATAAGTGCAATTAAGAAGCTAGCTATTAAGGATAGGGAAAAATAGAGGAGTGATCATGTTTGAAAAAAGTCAGGGAAGTCTTCCTGGAGGTAATTTTTAAGCCGATTATTGAAGAATAAATTAGTAGGAGCTTGCCAGATGGAAAAGTCTGAAGTGAAAAGGCCAAAATCTAGAAATGGCAGAGTGTGTTCCTAGTTTGTTTGTTTGTTTGTTTGTACCTGCCTTATTTCAGAAAGGATTTAGGTGGTTTATGATCCAGTCTCTTCAGTGCCGGAATGGCTAGAGATGAGACTAAAAGATGGGCAGGAAGCATATCAAGAGCTTTGAATTTGATGCTAATTAATGAATTTTATATTATGGAAACTGAAAGCTGGAGGAGTGATATAATCAGATTTGTGTTTTAGAAATTTTCTGTATATCTAATGAAGAAAGAAATTGAAGAATCATATGTAACAGACATGTATGATCCCATTTTTGTAAAAGATAAAACCATGTGTGTATATTTATATGTGTTTATATGTACTTGTATATGCAAAGGAAAAGGTCTGAAAGGATATATGCTAAATTGTTCATGATGATAACCTCTGGGGAATGGGAATGCAGGGGAGGGGGTTTACGTGGTTGTATGTATACTAGGTGGGTATTGTGTTTTTATTTCTGTATTGTTTGAATTTTTTTACAATTATGTATTATTTTCGTAATAAAAAATTTTAAAATTCCAGTAATAGTGTGGAGAATGGTTTGCATGGGAGCAAATCTAGATCAAGTAAGGGGGAATGGAGCCATGAGTATTGGGGTCGGGAGGAGGGAGATGGATTTGAGACTTCTTTAGAAGGGGTAGAATCAATAAGACTTTGACCTATTGACTTTGGGGGATGAAGAAAGGAAGACTGGAAGGTGACATCTAGAATTTTAGTTTGGGAAATTGGATGGGTACATGATATTCATTCAGCATTCATGAAGCCATCTGTTTTTATCAAGCAGTTCAACACATGCTAATACAGAAGTAAGATATAGCAAGGAACTTAAGGTCTAGAATGAGAGATATGTAAATAGACAATAAAAATGGTCATTCCAGTAAATGGTTATTTACAAGATTTCCTGGTAAGAAGAATGAGTTCTGAACCCTGCTTGTGCAATAAGGAGACCCTTAAATGATAGACCATGAAGTATAATCTAGACAAAGGACATAATATTTAGGAGTACAAAATATATCCATGGAACTACAGGTAGCTCTGGATGGCTGGAATATAGGGAACATGTGTAATATAATGATTCCAGCTGGGCGCGATGGCATTTGCCTATAATCCCAGATGCTCGGGAGGCTGAGACAGAAGGTTCGTGAGTTCAAAGCCAGCCTCAGTGGCAAGGTGCTTAGCAACTCAGTGAGACCCTATCTCTAAATAAAATACAAAATAGGGCTGGGGTTGTGGCTCAGTGGTTGAGTGCCTCTGAGTTTAATCCCTGGTACTTCCCCATCAAAAATAAATAAATATATAATGATCCCAAGCCTTGGAATCAAATGCTTATTTTAGAGCAATCACTCTGGCAGCAGTATGAATGTGGTTAGAGTAGAGAGGAGTGATGATAGATGAGAGGTGATGGAAACCTAACTGTTAACTGAGGCAATGACAGTAGGGATGGAATGAGAAGTATGTCTTAGAGATAGATAATGGAAACTAAGAGACAGTGGAACCTAGGGTTCTGATTTTAGGTGACAGAGTAAATGGTGATACCATTCCCTGTAAAAGTTGAGGGCCTTTGGAAGGTAGGGGAAATTGCTATTTGATTGGAAGCATGCAAGTTTGAAGTATGGCCAGCTATAAGGCTTAAGATTTGTGCAACCTTGTGAAGAGGTGAAATCACCCAGGAGCATGGAGGACCAAATCTTGGTGAAGACCAATAATGTGCCATCAGAAATAGAAAAACTGAAGAATGGTATTTCTCAAATTGAGGAAGGAGTTTTAAGAAAGAAAAAAAGACACCATATATGCCAGAGATATAAGTAAAATCAGGTCTGAGAGACAGCCTTTGAATTTGGCAATGAGAAGGTTCCTGGTGACCTGAGCTAGCAAAAGCAGTTGAGCAGAGTAGTGAGATTGAAATGTAGCCAGAGGCAGGGTGAGGAACAGATAGATGGGAGGTGAGAAAGTGATGATGAATAGAGATCATAGACCACTCTTCTCAAGAAATTAAGCTTTGGGCTGGGGATGTGGCTCAAGGGGTAGCACGCTCGCCTGGTATGCGTGTGGCCCAGGTTCGATCCTCAGCACCACATACAAATAAAGATGTAAAAATAAATAAATAAATTCTCTCTCTCTAAAAAGAAATTAAGCTTTGAAGAATAAAAGAGGTAGTCTTAAAATTAAAAAAAAGAGAGGTAGTCTTAAGATGGAAGATAAATAGGCCTATGCTTACAAAGTTATAGAATAGGTGGGGTTTGATTTCATTTAGGGGACAAACAAGTCTGTGTTTGCATATTTACAGAGTATACAAAAAGATTGGACAAGATGCACTTCAGACTTGATGCTTCTAGGAGTGAGGTGGAATGGAGGGGCTGACTTCACTCAAAACCTTTCTGTTTAAGCATTTTTGCTTGTTTGTTTTTATTTTCTGATGGTCACTGAGGAAAATGGGAGCTGGAACTGACTAGAGAGCCATCAAAGGATTACTGGGTATTTAATGTACTGTTAATTTTAAATGGTACCAATTTATTGTATGATTTTTTTTTTTCTCCAGGGGTGTTTAGCAACAAAGCTATCAGGGTATAGAAGCAGAAAAGGTTAAAAAAAAAAAAAAAGTCTGAGTAAGAAGACCTGGTTATGAGAGAGAGACTGGTGGATTTCATTTCATTTACCCTTTCTTGATTATTTTGTACCCATCTAGTGTTGGACAAGTAAATGTGAGAGTATGAGAAATGATAAAATATAAAATAGTGTACTTTGAAGGTACAGAGAGGGACATCTAACACCAACCCTGGAGCTAAGGGAGATCTTCCCAGAGATAACTAGTAGTTAGCTGGACAAAGAAGGCATCGGGATTGGGAATGGATAACATTCCATCAGAGAAAATAGGATGTGCAAAGAGCATGTGACTATAAATAGGGGTGGCTAGAGTATGGTGCACATGGAAAAAACTGGTAAGAACCAAAACTAGAATTAGGATGCAGACCCTGGGAAGCTCTAGATATTTTTCTAAGGAATTTAGATTTTATCCTAAAAGCAGCATGGACCTTTTCATAGACTTGGATTGCTTTAGTAGCAATTCAAAATGTGAATTTTATGAAAATAGGACTGGAAATGATTGTGACAGTCATTTTAGGCAAGGCATGAGGTTTTTTTTTTTAATTTTTTGTTTTTAGTTGTAGTTGGACATAATACCTTTATTTATTTATTTATTTATTTATTTTTATGCGGTGCTCAGGATTGAACCCAATGCCTCACACATGCTTGGTGAGCACTATACCACTGAGTTACAACCCCAGTCCCCATGAGTTCATTTTAAGATAAGAACAGTGGGCAGAGATTTGAGAGAATATAGGAGGTAGAATCTATAAAACTTGGTAACTGATTAGATGTGGGATGGGATGTTTCTGTCCGTCAGTTAATAAATATTCATTAAATTTAGTGCTAAGCATAGTTCCAGATGCTCTAAATGCAGCAGTGATTTTGTAAAACATAGTTCCCTCTCTTGAATAGTTTAGAATTTAGTAGGGGAGGTAGAAAAAAATAAGAATGAGAAAAGTATTATGAAAATAAAAGTGATGTGAAAGGGTGTGAGATGAGGGTTCTAATTTAATGGTCAGAGAAGGCCTTGCTGAGTACCTGCCATTGTCATATAAATATGTATTTATTGCTTTGGTAAAATTAAAATACTTTTGGGCTGGGGATGTGGCTCAAGCAGTAGCGCGCTTGCCTGGCATGCGTGCGGCCTGGGTTCAATCCTCAGCACCACATACAAAAAAAGATGTTGTATCCGCCGAAAACTAAAAATAAATAAATATTAAAAAAGAAATTCTCTCTCTCTCTCTCTCTCTCTAAAAAAATTAAAATACTTTTTAAAATTTGAAAACATAAGCAATGAAAGAACCATAAAAGATACTTTAAAAACCTGACCCAAGAAGTATGGGGAAACTAGGTTACACTATTGAGGAAAACCAGAGGACAGGAGTTTCAAAGGACAGAAAGGTCAGCAGTGTCTAGAACTTAAGAAAGGGCAATCAGGTAAGGCCTGGAATTTGTCAGTTGGATTTGACAATTGGTGAACCTAGTGAAAGCAGTTTATTTAGAATGGTGGGTGCAGAAACCAGATGGCAGGTGGGTTGGAGAATTGAATGCGAGGAAGTAGAAACAGTTTCTGGGAGCTTGATTTGATAAAATAATAGCTATCGTTCATTGTGCCAGCCTCTCTGCAGGGAGCCCTACTTAACTGACCTCATCTAACCCTAAACAATCTATGAGATAGGTATTATTATTTTCATTTTACAAATGGGGAAATTGTTCAGGGTCACACCAGGAGAGGTATTAGCCTTGGACTGGAGAAGGACTGCCATTAAATTAAAGCCAGAAAGATGAGTTATTGTAGGGCTGGGATGTAGCTCAGTAATAGAGTGCTTGCCTGGAAATGTGATCTCAGGTTGATATTTGCAAATCAATGTGAAAATAACCAAGGTTTTTTTTCTGTTGATAGTTGAAGCGATTTTCCCCCCAGTTCCGTGGCTTTAGGACTTACAGTACGATATTTGCTAAATAAAAGTCTGGTGCAGTGGCACACATCTATAGTCCCCACTACTCAGGAGAATGAGACAGGGATCACTTGAGCCCAGGAGTTCAAGACCAGCCTAGTAAAATAGCAAGGCCCCATCTGAAATAAATAACAAAACACTGATTCCTATCTAGGGGAGAACAGTAGTTGTCTGTATATTTTACAGAAGTCCAAGTGATTCTCCCCACTACCTTTTTTTTTTTTTTTTTTTTTTCAGTGCTTGGGATTGAACTCAGGGCATTGCTCATACTGGGCAAGCACTACA